CCATTTCCAAGTGGCACAAGACTCTGCTATTAAGAGTTAAGTTAAAATCTACATATGCAGACTGTACCTAAATTTAACACCGTCTTGATGACAAGTGTGATCTTCAGTTTCTCACATAAGTAAGGTCATAATGTTCCTCATTTTGTGGCACTAATGTTTTTTGTTTAATAACCTGCTCTTTCTTTTTGTGTTAAATATGATTCTGTTAATGAGTCAGATAAGTTCTTTAGATGACCACTTATATGAGTGCACTCTGTGATACGTGTTATTCAAGAGATCTGACTGGATCATCCTAACAGTCACTTCTGACCTTACAATATCTGTGTATGGCGTTGAAGTTCTATTGCGAATCATTTCACTTTTTTTTTTATCCAGGAAAGCAAATATTTTTCTTTGAGGCTGAAAAATGGTCATGTGTATACTGTGTTTAATTCTTTACCAAGTACCTAGAAGCATGCAGAGCTAGCTAGCTTCCATTTTTGTTCTTGGTACTTAATGTTTTCTGATAGAAATGGTGTCGTCCCTGTCCACTGTAACAGTTTTAGCCTTTCCTAATAAAGCTTCTCTGCCAGCTGTTAAAATAATATACAACTTGCAGGTATTAGTGGCTCTGACATCTCTGAAAGTCGTGTATTTTTTTTACACTTGGCTGCTGGTGTTCACTCCAGAAGTGACTGCATTTCTTTGGTGGAGAAGGATGCAGGCATCTGATATATAACTACTACCATGTATACTAAATATCTATAATTGTGTGAGGATCCTCCGATAGGTGTCGCTTACAATCAAGGAGGATTTATTTGAAACAGATGTTTCTAACATACTGAGGCTGCTCGTGCTACTTGTAGCACTTGTGCCACAGATTGGCCACCCTGTCTAAAGAACCTGTTACCTAGCCGCTGTCATTAATACACATGGACCACATGGCCCATTGATATAAATTTGTAAAGAAATCTCTGGTACAGAGAAGCACTTGAAAATCAAAATCCATACTTCGAGGAAACGTAGATATATGACTAGATTATTGGTTGCAAGACAATAATGTATGTAACCTTTGATTTCCATATAAGAAATTGTGGTGTGTCTTAAGTTTTGCAATGTTGCCAATCATTTAAGCAAAGGAACTGAGTTACAAATTTGATTGTGTTAGTTTTGTTTTAGGCTGCTGACAGACATACACTTAAAAGTACAATTAGATCTGACCTCCAATCCCAACAATCACACCTGCTGCCATGCCATATGTGCATAGCAGGATGCACAATTTTGGGATTGGGGATCAGATCCCAGTTGTATCCTGTTTGCTAGTGCTGAGGGAGCCTGGGATTGTGAGTTGAAAGCAATGTGATCCCTGGAGCCTGCTGCTGATAAGCTGATGGTAGGCAGGATCACGACTGCACCAGGGCCCAAGCCAGCCCTTGTGGTTCAGGGACTAGGACTGATTGTCAGCAGGATCAGGATGGAGCCGGGACTTGATCAGCTGATCGTTGACAGGATTGGAACTGCATGAGGGCTGAAACTTTACTGCAGTCCCTGCCAGTTGATAATAAACTGATTGTTGGTTGGATCAGGAGCCCACTAGGCAGGCCTGAGGTGGTCACTGCCAGCCAATGATCAGTTTCTTGTTGGTTCATCAAGACTGTACTGGGTCTGCTTGGAGAGTGACTCTGGTACAGTCAACTCTGCTGCACATGCAATTTAAGACATCGTGGAAGCCAGCCACAAAATTATTACGCATCCTTTTTTGGGTTGTAATTTGTGGCTTATTTCATGTTTTTTTTTCCTGAATGTGTGTCTGGGTTATACTGTAAGATGTGACTAACTGGTTAATTTAATCTTAAATGTAACATCTGCCAGGGCCTTGGATTCATGCATTCTTCACCAGTTATCATGAGATATTTTTGGTATTCCCCATCTATTATGGCTTGGTTATCTTAAATCTGCTAAAAGTAAGCCATCTGTTAATAAAATTATTGGGTAAACCCCGACTTTGCCAAGTATTTAAACTAAACTAGCTAGTGATTTAGGCAAGTTCAGGTTCTTAGTTAATGCTCATTTCAGCAGCTCAAATATTGGTGCCTCCTGGGCATTTCATATGAAAGGGGCAAGATTAATTTTGTTCAATAAGTCTATTAAAAGAGTCGCTTGGGAGTTGTAGGTTGGAATATGTTTTGAGTTAGTTGCTGTGCAACAAAACATGGATTGTATGGATATATGCCTGTGCATTATTTGATGAATAAAATGTCATGTTTGGAAGTTAAATAGGCATAGATTGTAACTATTCTGGATCAAGAATTGAATCATTGTGTTCTTTTACATTTCTTGCCTAATAGCTTTGTTTCCTGTGGAAGGGGGAATGATAGGTCCAGAGATCCTGATTAGGTTACCTTTGTTCCTGTAGTGGAGAATGGAGGAGGCATTATGTTTAGCACCACTGGAAGGCAGTAATACAGGGAGAGGTAGCCTGTGCTCTTCACACTGTTGGAATGGGTATGTGTTCAGAACGCCTTCAGAATGTACAGAACTCTAATCCTTTACAGAAAGTGCTCTATTGTCTTGTGCAGTATTTTCATGGAGTCTGCATTGTTAATTTAATCTCTCATCAAGTTTCTTTATACTATCACCTGATCACATACACTTAAAATTCAGATCAGCAGATTGAAGCATGGGTGTAGTGAAGAAGGCAGTTGAGCCAGGATGCATTTCACTTTCACTGTTTCAGAAGAAAGCAAGAAAAGGAAAGATACTACAAAAAAAAGATTTGAAAAATGGTTATAAGAAACTCCAAAATATTTCCACCTGAATGTCTCACTCTGACTGTTGTTCATAACTGAACAAGTCTCAGCAAGAGCAAAACAGCTCTTTCCTGATCAAAAAGAATGAGAGATGATTAAGTATTTTAAAAACACCCTTACCCTGCCATTATAGTATGGTATGAATATGATAAAGTATTACATATGCTTTAAATACGTAAGCACCTAGGTTTGTAAAGTCCAGTTTTTTGCTGTCTTAAGCATTACATGGTATAATCCTTCTTGTTAAATGATGTAAGCTTCTCTTTAAAACTAGTCAGTTATTTTTGCCCTCAGTACTTTTTGGAAGGTTATTCTAAAATCTCTCTTTAGTCATGGTCAGAAAACTTCTTTTCATTGCCGCTTTGTTTTTTAGCCAAAATTAATCTCTAGCCTTAACCAGTTTTTCTCTCTTCCTTGTGTTTGCCCATCTCCTCCCAGCCTTTGTATTGCCTTAATCTTCTCTTATTTCTTTGGTTATCATAGTAGCCCTTCCCTGAACCTTTTCCAGAATAGTCTTATCTGGGCCTTGTACAGTGACGCTAATTAATATTACAGCAAAAGCGCTGTTATCCAGCACCCATTGAGAATGTGGGGTGCTGGGTGACCAAATATGCTGGTTACCTGAGAGGCATCTTTGCCTGGTCGGGCCTCTACTCCTCCCGCCACGTCTGGTGTGCCAGGCTTTCACTCCCTGGCATCAGTGCGCCAGGGGACAGGGAGGGGGGCCCCACGCAAGCTGCTTTGCCCCAGGCTGTGGCCTGAAGTCAGCAAAGTAGACTTGGCAGAACTGGAAATGGGACTTCCAGTTTCACTTTTGCCCCATCGACCAGCATGCCAGTTAATAAAATGCCGGATAACACGGCTTTTACTGTACATCTATTTGTAATACCTCTCCCAGTGCATCCTAATGTTTTTCTTGGTCTCATCACCTTGGTGGCTTATAGTTACTCTGTGATCAACCAGTTCAACCAAGTCCTTTACCCCCTCACTCAGGCCCCAAGAGCATCATCATAATGTTCTTTCCTTATGATCTCCTGATCCTCCACTGTATTGACAGTGTCTCCAATCTTCATGATTTCAGCAAACTTCATCAGGCAATGCCTGTTTTTGGGCCAGCCTTATTAAAAAAAAAGATTGATCTAAAGAATGAGTATAGTAATATTTTTAAGTATTGTATATGCTGTAATATATGTAATTCATAGGATGGTACCTGTAAGTAGCCTCATTCCAACCTGGTACTTCCCTTTCCAGCAATGTTGCTTTAAGTCATCTCCTTATGCATCTTAACAGTATTTTGATCCACCTTCCATTTTACTTCTTTTTGGTATATGTGACACCACAAAGTGTAGAACTAGCTTCTCTCCCCTCCCTCCCTCCCTCCCTCTCTCTCTCTCTCTGAAAGACTGCTCCCCTCTCAAAGAAAATGGTATGTCAGTGTAGCCAGTATCAGAGGAATTCAAGCTTTGGAGACACCTGCCCACTGCAATAGATCCTCTTCCACCTTTTAATCATTCTAGTCCTACTTCTAGAGGTATTGAGAGAGTTGGCTTTGTCTCATGATCTCCTTCAAGCCAAGGGACAGAATGTTTCCTATCTGTTTTCAGATAAACTGTTCCTACCTTCCTTTGTACTAAAACGAACTCACCTATAGCACAGCAGGGTGATTCATCATATTCAGTGGAAAATTTTTGGTGTTGACTGTTTTAAATTGCAACTAGTCAACAACTCATTCAAGGATTGGTATTTCTAAGAATTTATGCAACTAGTTTTTCCCATACACTGGTATAAAGCTAAAATGCAGGCAAATAATATAATTACTATGCTGTTTCTTTGCTGACAGAGTGGTGTTCCTGTGCAAGTATTGCTTTGGTAGTCCCACATTGCTTTAATCTATTTCTTTTTAAATGTTAAGAAATTAATATTTGAATGTGTTTTGTTCCTTGCTGCCAAATAATTGGAGCAGATGTTTAAACTGCATGTAAAGTAGGAAGCCCGTGGTTTGGAAGTATCTGTAGTTTCAAGGGTACATTAAAGATTTAGCATCTTTGTTATACTGCCTGCTCTGTGCTGTGAAGTAGGCCATGTTTTCTGCAACTTCCTGTGTGGAGTTCTGTAACACCAACTAAATATTCATTGAAGTGTAGTGAACACAAAGAGGCTTTGTGTTGACTTTTTTTTTTAATTGATATAAACTTTTTCTTTTCTCTAAAGGTCAGTCCTATGAAATACGGATGCTAGATAATCGGAAAGCTGGAGACATGCCAGAGATCACTGGAAAGCTGGTAAAGGTGAAGTAAAGTTGTTGTTCTAGATAACATAACAGGGATTGCAGCTGGCTGCATAGTTTGTCCAGTGGTTTTCATATTGTGACTCAGTGTTACAGCAGGAAAAAAAATTGGAAACTTTTCTGTCCCTCACAGTCTAACCATGAAGAAAGGAGAAGTTGCAGCCCAGGTTTAAGCTTGTTGAGAGACAGGGAGTGCTAACGGATAATCAGGGTTTTCTTTCCAGTTAACATGGCTGTCTCAAATCAAGTGACTTGACCAAAAAGAATAAAACAAGTTGATTAAGGTTTTGTTTTAACGTGTCGTATCTGACATAAAAGTGTTGTAACACTTGTATGTCCTCAGGTTGTGACCATTAACCTTGCAGTTATTTACCATTCTCACTAGGGATTCATGTCTAGAATTGATTTTGTCAAGATGATAATTTTAAAAAGTGATGCAGTTGATCATTTAATCGGCCTTAATCAGCATGGTAGGATTTTGTCTTTGACTGACCTACCCTGCTGCCATTAGGGAAGAATATTCTGTATAGGTACTGGGGGCTCCTCAGAAAGCCACAGTTATGGGTAGCCATCCAGTGCTTCCCAATTTTTCTTGCAAGTTATCTCTTTAGAGAAGAAGACTGCTTTTTTGTTGTTGTTCTGTAATTGTGGCTGAATGTTCTTTGCTTTAAAATATGAATAGTAATACTTGTCTTTTAAAATAAGCTTGAAAATTATGGAAAACCTTGAGCTTAGTTGAAAACTTGCTTTCCAGCATAAGCCAAAATGACTCCCCCTTTTCTTCAGGAAGACTATTTTGGTGGACAGTTTCTGTTTCCTGAAATGTCTGTCTGTTTGTTTTTATTTGAAGTGATCAAACTAGGGCTTGATTTGATGGAGAACTACATAATCGTGGGATTACTCTTACTGTTCTTCAGGCAAGCAGTGGACTGCTTTGCAGTTTACAAAATGCTCACATTTGCAAACATAAAGTAAAGCACAGGCAAGCAGCAGAGTTAGCAGAGCACAGCAGACAGCTTCCTTTTCTAAAGCCCTGGTTAGCATAGCAGTACACTAGAGTCCTAAGTTCCCTAGAACTTTCCCTTTTTCCACGCAGCTTGTGGCGGTAGCTGAGCTGTACGAGCTGTTTTGTGGCACTAGAGATTAGTCTCACACAAGCTTCCTGATTCTTCTGACGGCTTTCCTGAATCTCTTTAAGGTGCATACTCTTCTTGTTTCCCCAGCTGGGTTTCTGCTCCCAATTCCAGATTTCCTTCTCTAGAATCTTAGACATTGCTAGATTTATATGCACCACATCAGCATAAGGGTAGGGATATGCTGATTTGAGAAACATCAGTTTAACTCGGGGGTTGTCAGCTAGGGGTACACATACCCCTGGGGATACTTGAGAAGGCCCTAGGGGGTACGCACAGGCAGGCGAGTGGGCACAGAGCTCTGCCACACACCATCCCGTGAAATAGTAAGTTTCAAGTTAAAGTTGAAGGTAGTGGTAATGTACTGGCTTAAGGAAGTATGCAGATATTAGGCCGCCTCCACACAGTACAGGTCTTGCACAATTAACTGGTTACCAGCTACACATGCAAAGTAGCTTTCAGACAATAAAATGCTTTGACCAGCTATAAAATTAGATGTTGAAAATGTGTGCTAATTTTATAGCTGGTTTGCTGTCAAGCTTTAATTTGTATGTGCAGCAGGATTTCTCTGCTACAGCTGGGAGCTGCATCAGCTGGGTGTACCTTGCCCAGCTGGGGCTGAAAGTCCTGCAGCTGCTAGGGACCCTAAGCCCCAGCAGCTGCAAACTCTGTCCTGGCAGCATTCTGCAGCTGCTGGGACCCAGAGTCTCACAGCTGCAGATACTGGTCTCCACAGCGTGCTTCCCGGTGATCCTCCACACACCCCTGGGGTGGGGGCATCGTTGCTGTGGCAATCTCCCGGTTGCATGGGTTGCCCCCATAACTAGGAGCTGCTCAGCTGAGAGGGCTCCTAGCTACAAGAGCTTGCTTCTTGCGGGTGCAGGGGGAGCCTGGAATCCCAGAGAGCTCCAGGACCTGGCTCCCCCTGCACCAGCAGTAAGGTACAATAGGATCCAATGTGAGATCCCACCGTCATGTCTCCTGCCAAGCGTTTGTGGCATTGCAGGGGACATAATTTCATGAATTGTGCGTTAGATCCCATTGTGCCTTTACCTGCATGTGTAGAGGAAGCCTTATAGTTTTGTGTTGTTTTTTAAAAGCATCTCATAGAATTTAGAGTTTAGTTTCAACTTGAAGTAAGTTGAAACATTTGAGCGTATGAAATTGGTGTATAAAACACCTGAACAACTTTGACTCTGCTTCTGCAGGGAAGTCTGTATTTTGGTGTGAATTATACCCATCTTGCAGAAGGAGAAAGTGAGGCACAAAGGTATGATCACATATGCTTCAGGTAAAGTGGTAGCTATTGTTGCTCATCACTATAAGACAGTGGTTCTCAAACTATTTAGACTCAAGATACCCCTTTATAGACTCAAAGTATCCTTTAAAAATGCCAGCTCTTAGTATTCACTCTTTTTGGACTACAGAAAAATAATGGAGCAATTCTTTTGTTGCAAAGAATTCAGAAAGACTACACCAGCTTTTCAAAACGCTGTTTTTAATACTGTGGATTCTGGTTTGGAAACACTGGTTTTTATCCTGCAAATTATGTTTGAACAAGTAACAATGCTAACGTTGCATGGCACCCAGCTAAGGCACCCTGGTTGCAAATCACTGGTTTAGGAAAATAGGCCCCACATGATTTGTCCAAGGTCAAGTACCTAGGGAAAGAAATCAAGTTTTATGACTCACAGTCCCCTGCTTTTATCCATAGTGCTAGCGATAATTTTTTGTTTTAAACTTCCTTCTGGATGTGCAGTAAACAATTATGTTAAGCACGTCATAATGTGTGTATTTCCACTTTTGTCTTGCCAAATACTCTCATATCTATTCTATCGCATCTATTCTTTCTAGTAGTTGAAAGAACATGTCAAAGAAATTAAAATGCATAGCATATTGTTGGTGGATTTCTGAGAGGCCACTAGCAAAAGAACTTTTTCCCTCCATTTTCTCTTTACCTCCTTTCTGACAGTGATTGTCTCCGTTTTTAAACTAGGCTGGCAGCTACAGTCTTACTGTCCTGCTCCTTTCCTTGTCCACCAAACAGGGAACCTGTTCAGTGATAATTACAAAAGGTGCTTTTAGACATGACCATCACATTGCTAGACTTCAGGACCCTGAAGCTGCACCACTGTTATCTTCTGTACCACTGCTTTGCTGCTTTGATAAACATGTGCAAATTTTTGCCTTGTTGGGGCTTTGGGTAGCATTTTGTGTATCTGGTAAGAATAACCTGCTGTTGATCATTCTGAAAGGCATTTTTTTAATTTTACTAGTTGAATAGATTTTATGACGAACCATTAGGTGGTAGGTGTTTAGAGATCAGAGTTACTTAATAAATTCATCCTGTTTTGAATTGCTGTAGCATTTGAAACATGCTGTGGGGTCGTATTTTCATTTTGGACAATAAAACACCTTCCTGTTTGTTTTCTACAATAAGATATTTTTGTATGTCTGAAAACAGCTGCAAATATATTTGCATTCCCAACAGGTTAAAAAGTTTTGGTGAGAAATAATGCCCAATCCTTTTGTGTGTTTTGGAAACTAATAGCTTCACATCCGGCATATGAGTGAAGCTATGATACTGAGTTCTTACTTCAGTTTAAAAGACACTTTAGATAAAGTTAACACTTCTTTTTGGTAATTGTTTAATCTACTGTTTTAAGAAGCAACGCCCAGCAGCGTTAGAATTGAAAGACTTGGGACTTTTTTATCCATTTTGACTTTCTCATTTGTGTAAAGTCAGTTTGTTTCCCTCTATAGCAGCTTCTCCTGCATGTTTGTTTATACAATTGGAGACAGAGACTTTTTAGTAAGAAAATGTGATTTGTAAAACCACAAAATATACTAGGTGTATTCATGGGTATATGTAATATCTGAAATCTTTCTACTGGGTTTTTAATGGAATCAAATTAGATGGTTGTGTAATGAATAGTAGAAATAGTTCTAGGCTATGAAGTTTCTGTTAGTGGTAACTGTAAATTGAAATAATTGTTCATTAATATACAATTTAAGTATGATTATCTAGTAGTGAAACTTTTTCATAAACTGTTATCCATTTTTTTTTCCCCTCAAGTATTGGAGGCTGTTATACAGAACTTTTAAATATTTAGATTAATACATTCCTGTTTAGAAATTGTAAATAATACTTTTTCAGATATTTTGTATGAACCTGTTAAATTTTTTAAATAATCAATTTTATAGACCACTGCTGAAAGATACTGTCTTGATTTTGTTTGATTTTTCAAACAAAATTTTCAGTAAATTTGGTTCAAGCTTTAGTTAAATGCTGCTGAGAATGAATTAATTGCAGTTGTGAACCTTTCTTGTTTTTTCTACTGTTAACCTCACAAATCTTGTGATCTTTCCATTTTGTGGCAGTCCTACCTTATGCAGTTCCCGCAGTCTCCAGTAGGCTTTACGAATAAAATCTTTGTTGACTCTTTATTCCACTTCACATTGTATTATAAACATCTCTTTGGTTCAACTCTGTTTTTATATTAATAGTTAATTCTGAAATGCTTTTGAACACCTGGGGGGTTTTTTTGTTGCAAAAATGTTAATACTCACTGTTATTAAATGCCATAAGAATATTTTACCTTGAAATTGTCTTTTAATGTGTAATAATTCTAAGACAAATTTGTAATAATTTCTCCTCTTATTAACTAGAGTATTATAAGAGTCGTGTTCCATGACAGACGGTTGCAGTATACAGAACACCAGCAGTTAGAGGGTTGGAAGTGGAATCGCCCTGGGGACCGACTTCTTGACTTAGGTATACCTGTCACCTTACTATCAATAGGTTAAAACAGGAAGCTTAGTAAATTGATCCTAATGGTGTCCACAGTAAGGTTAGTGAAAACATATATATGCTGCTTTATTTGTGTTAGGATATACTAGTCTGATATGCAGAAGTTTTCACCTGAATTGCACTGTAATTTTTTTCAGTGTGAAACTTAATGTCATCATGTGAAGACTATTATAGAAAGGAAACATTAACACTCCATAATTATAGAGACGTGGTTAGCTGTGATAATCTGAATGTAGGCAGAAGGCAGGGCGGGGTAGCACCTTACAGACTAACTTGTTCAGAGAGCTAGTTAAAAGAAGTTAGTTTGTAAAATGCTACTCTGCCTTGCTTTATGACTACATACCATATTTTCTAACATAAAACACACAACTTTTCCCCCAGATTGGGTTGTATGTATTAAGTGAGAGAGCTTTTGTTTCTCACTGGGATAGAGGCACAATGGTTTGATTCCTGCTGCACAGTGCAGCAGCATTACTATTCAGGCAGCCGAGGGAATCAGTTGACTTACTGGTTCATTATTATTCACTCTCCACATGATAATAATTGCCTCTTCTTTTTAATGGTTTTGATGTACCATGAATCAAGCCAACATTTCTTAGGACAGTTTTGCTGTCTACTAGTTTATGATCCTTTTTTCCTTTTTCTGCTTTAGTTGAGCAGGAAAGGGAAGGTGAATCAGCTGAAGACTAGGCTCTGTTCCTGCTTTGTGCAGTCATACCTCCTGGAAAAAACTTTTCTTCTTTATTTTGCCTTTCAAAAACAAGGTGTATAGTATATTCTGGAGCATGTAGTATTGAAGAAAGTATGATAATTATGTTCTACTAATATTTCTTTTTTTCAGAATCATAAATCTTTTCTAGTAGTTGGGAACAGAAGACAAAAATAATATTTTTATAAAAATAGACTGTAAAAACATTGCAAAAAGTGGGCATAATTTGATATTTAAGGAGTTCTAACTTTTTTATTTTATTTTGCATGTGATAATTTTATGTAGTTCATAAGTGACAGTTCTGTAAGATTTATAGTAAAACCTTGTGTCTTAAGACTACCTCACATCAGGGGCAGAATCAGAAGGGGTAGGGTGGCGCAACTGCACTTGAGCTCATGGCACAGTGTCTGCCTGGAGCCCCCCGCTTTTGTGCAGCTCCCAAGCTCAGAGGGTGGGCATTTTCCACTACTTATCTCCCTCCCTTTTCGGCAGCTGAATTCAGCAGAGGAGAAAGGTGCACATAGCAGTGTTCACCCCCTGGGCTCCAGAGCTGCCCAAAAGCAGAGGCTCTGAGTAGATCCCACCTGATCAGCTGGTAAGCTCAATGTTCACTGTTCGTGTGGAGATCCAGCAGGAGTTTGTGCTGACCAGGTAGCGAGCTCAGAGCTACTACAAGTGCAACACAGCCAAATGAGGCTGCACCTCCTGCCCTGTCCCTGAGTGCTGCTGTCTCTGATTATTCCTCAGAGACAGATTGTGGTTCTGTGCCATGTTTATTAGAAGACCACAGTCGTTAAACGCCCAAGTTTTTGTCAGCACTGTGTGGCCACTGACACTGAGCTTCACTGAGTTTGTTTGTAAAGTAACAGGTTTTTATATTTTGTACTTTTTTTATTTAGATATTCCAATGTCAATTGGAGTAATTGATATAAAGACAAATCCAAGCCAGCTCAATGCAGTTGAATTTCTGTGGGATCCTGCGAAACGTACATCTGCTTTTATTCAGGTTTGAAACTGTTTTATTGCATATGTGTACTGATTTGGTCTTTGTCAGGTCATGAATGCAGTTTACTTGGCCATATAACTTCTCCCCGTGAATAGTTGAGAGAGATACTGTAGGTTTGTTTGTGGAGAGAGGGCATTTGGTTTTCCTTTTTTTTTTTTCTAAATATATAACATCCTAACAAAAGCAAAATTAATTTAATTAACTGCCATCATTTTAAAAAACTTGGAGCCTTGGCAACTGTTGTTACTATAGGTGATGCTGGTTGGGTTTAGAACAGCAGCTTTTAAAACATCAAATACTTAATATGAAAGCATGCTTTAAAAGAAAACTAATAATTATAACAAATACCTTTTAATATTTATAACAAGTACCTACCTAAATAGTTACAGCTTTTTAACAAATAATTGGAAATGAAACTAAGTTCCTGAGTGGGCTCGTTCTGAGGACACAAATAAAATTGAACATGCTATGCAAATAGAATTTGAAGCTGGAAGTTTCCAAAGTCTTTTTAGTTATTTTATTGATACAGTTTATTGTGAAATTGTTTTATTCATGACCAGGGATCATGGTTTTTTCTCTGTTTAAAACACCCAAATTCTCTGATTTAAAAACCCCCAAATCTGTGTTTTTCCACAATTAAAATGAAATGCTATTTTATATATATAGGGGGTGGGTGGGGGTGTGTGTGTGTGTGTGTGTGTATATGTATAGGTATATAGGTATCACTTGAACACAGTGTTTTATTGATATATTTACAATTTTTAAAGCAATTTGGAAGCCTCCCAGTGTCTCAGTCATTCTAATAAAATACATTCATAATAACTATACATTTTGGCATTTGACTTTTTTTTTTTATCATGGAAAATGAGAATTCCCCCCGCCTCCTTCCCTCCCCCCCCCCCCCCCCCCCTTCCGCCACAAAATGGACCCCCTATAA